GCTTCAGGGGCTACAAACAATTCCAAAGTGCTCTACAAGAGATTGCAGAGGATATTGACCAGAATGGTCTCACGAAGCACGAAGCTGGCGCACTTGCAAGTTATATGAACACTATTGAAGTTGCTTTCATGTGTGAACTTTGGAATGACATTTTACATCGTTAAGACGTTAAGCATTCAACCATGTCTCAGCAGGGGCTATGGATGCAAGCACGTCTTTCAATTGAAAGCGATTTACTGCACAACGTTGACATTAACAAAGTCGTTGATGAATTCGCTGTTGCAAAAGCCCGCCAAGTGGCAATCTAGGTAAGAAATAATAATGCATAATGTTATTGTTGTGAGACCTTAGTTAACATTATCTTACTGGTATGTTGTCCATGTTCCATACTGTCATATGTTTGACTTGCTGACAGACAGACACACGCACAGACAGACCGCGCATTTGTGTGATGTGTGTCAGGCCACTTAGTGAGGTGTGCCTTGGGGCCAGCTGGGTCTTAATCCGGCACTGGCTGTCGGGTACATGCTGTAGCTGAGATTATTTGTCTTCTTTCTGTCAATTTCAAGTTAGTTTCTCATCCTCCCTAGGATTCCTGTTCTTGCCAAATAAAGTATGTTTTTGATGTTTCTGGTCTTGTCCAGTGTGTTGTTGGTGGGTGCTCTGGTGCCATTTCATCCCTTCAGACATCTGTCTTCCTTATCTCTTCTCCTTCTTTTCTTTGTAAGTTACTCTCATGTACCACCTAGTATAGTCATCAACACTTATATATCTAACATATGTAGGTTGGAAGTGCCATAAACCTCTTACTAAAACTAACACTAACTTATTGTGTCAGCGCGTACGGAGCAAGTGTTTGTTGAATGCATTGTTTGTGAGTCTGTTGTATTTATACTGAAGGCCAAGAGAATGTTTGAGGCAAATTTTAAACACTGCAGGGACAGCCTTCTCTGTTCCGTCACCACAGGTTCTGTAAAGTTCACGCAGATTTTGAAAATGACAGTTAACTCTCTGTTTCTCAATTTCTTTACCAACTACAATTCTTTTTTTAACAACAACATAGAACTGTTTAAACAATAGTATGATCCTATTACTTTTTTAAGTAAACTGGAAGTTTGTGTCCAAGCGAATCACAGGGAGTACTGTTTTTTTCTTAAACCCATAAAGAATCACACGTTAACTTGGCACAAACGAAACTTGTTTACACAAGTCAAGCATTGCTGTCACCAGAGAGGCAAACAGATATTTTTTTAATCTTGGGCTATTTTTTAAGATAACAAATTTCAAAATGAAATGTAGTAAAAGATTTCAATTTCAAGACAAAAAAAAACCTGGCAAAGAGGTGTTAATAATGCTAGAGATCGCGACAGTGACGTCACAAGTGTCATACATGGGAGTCTTCTCTCCTCAACGACATGGTCGGCGCACACCCCATTTACAAGAATTATCTGAACCTTCACCCTGTTCCCCACGAGATCTAGTACATTAAACACCGCCCTGCCCCCACATTTCAGTGCAAGCTTGTTGGTTTCCTCCTGAGACCGTCGAGACGTCTCCATGTGAGTCTCGAAAAGTACTCACCTGTCTGTTGGACTGCGCATGTCTTGCCTTCAACGCTCAGCGTCCCAGGGTGGGCACACGCAGCCCCCGTTTGTGTATGTTGGTGACGTTACTGCTACGAGCTCTAGTACTAAATATAACCCCTTTGGTCAGCACTGAGTATACATCGTAACTTTTACTTCATAGTAACACTTTAGGCAGGTAGCCTACTGCAAGAGTAACCTCAGACCTAAGCAATCTGTTCATTTTGTTATCTCGAAAGAGTCTGGCCACTTTGAACGAGTTTTTAAAATCATAAATCGGGTCACATTATTAGCATTAGAAATTAAACAATTCAGATTTGCTTTAAAAATGAAAATATTATGTCCAGAAAGTGATATAAACATGATTAGCATCTTGGTCAACAATTTATACCTTTCTAAAGGTGAATAATTATTGGACTATGTCTGTTTGCAACATGCATAATACATAATTAAGTCTGCTGCATATTTCTCGAAGTCAGAACTTATCCTGCCCACATTTCGTTAAACACTACATGTCAGCAGAAGTTGTGCCTTTAGTCAGCTCTACGTGTCGCCTTGAATCATAGACTTGAATCATAATATCCTAGGTCGGAAATGTTATTTCTGCCACTTTTTGCTCTCTATAAAAATTTTACTGCGCACAAATGTCCAATATTTCCAAACTATCGAACATAGACTCTCCACTTTTTTGCACAAACATTTGTATCAATTTGTCTTAATAGATCAATATTTTTGTAAACACTTGTTAGCTGTATCCTAGAACATTCCTTAATAAATACTAATAAAAAATCCAAGTGGGTGGTCTCTACAGATTTAGTAATTTTGAAATGCATTACCCAAAAGAGTAATCAACTTGGGGAACATTTTTGGTGGCCTTGTTTTTAAGGTGGCTACTGCCTGCATTTTAAATGGACCTCTGCAAGATTCCTTCAAACTTTGGTGAAAACCTCCTAATCTATTGCACTTAAAATGTTTTAAGGTGTATATTAGACTCTTGGATGGTCAGGTGAGCCATAGAATTATTTATGAATTTGAAAGAATTGTGTCAGGTAAGGTTTGTCAGGGGGTGCCTTACTCACCCCGGTGTCTGTTGACATGGTCGTGGTGACTAAGGCACTCCGAGCTGGTGCCTGTATCTGGACTCAAAAAGCGATATTTTTGAGAATTTTCACTCTTGCAATTTGTAATTTTGTAGAGATATATCTTCTTTTTCAACACATCAGGGTCTTTAATGGGAGATACACGTATAATATGCTCGTAATATGTTTTGGATGAAATGCAGTGAACTATTCTTTCCTTGTTGAAAATCAATAAACAATATTTCTGAATTGAAATACAATATTCTACATTACTGCTTGTAGTATGCCTTAAGTCTCTCTCATGTGGGGCTTACTACGTTAAAAGAGAACTTACTGAGGGTGCCTGAGTCACCCCATGACGTGGTGACTAAGGCACTCACCCCCCTCTAATTTTCCTTCATATCTTTTAAGAATTGGACATATTTTCTCCCAAAAGGGTCTAGATCGATACTGTTTAATTATTCCCCTAATTTGAACCCAAAAATATTAACTTCAACTTATGACTTCAAATTGTGAATCATAGAAGCTATGAAAGGTGCCTTAGTCTCCCCGGTATACCGTATGCAAAATGTGTGTGAGAAGCGGGAAGTGCTGTGAACAATCCCATTTTCCGCGTGACGGAGATTTATAGTACAATATATTGTATATAAATTTATGAAGAAAAGTTTTTTTTTAATCTAGCCTCATTTGTTGTGGATGAATATGAATAAGTTAAGACAAATTGATACAAAACTGCTGCGCAAAGTATGGGTGACATTGATTCACCCGTTAAAAAATATTTGAGGACAAGTTGCGCGAAGAATTTTTGACCGCACTATATACCTTACTACTAATGGAGCTAAGGCCAAATTTTGCGAACAGTATATTCTCAGAAACTACTTAATGAAAAAATAAGAAACTTTGCCAGTACCCAGAACTTGAAACGTAGTGTTGCACTATTGTATTTTCATTAAGATCAAATGTGTAAGAAGAAAGCCCATTTTAAGTTAAATTCAGTCCTTTTGTAGCGATCGCCATCATAATTTGCTTCGACATTGTATATTCACTGCGGAGTGCCGACTGCGCCGAAGGATTATGTTGCGTTCAGTTAGGTTTACGGGAATTTCCGGTTTCGGTCTCACGTTTTTGACTGTCTTCTCACAGCGGGTTTGGAGCGCTCAAAGAAGAAGAAGAAGAAGAAGAAGAAGAAGAAGAAGAAGAAGAAGAAGAAGAAGTAGAAGAAGAAGAAGAAGAAGAAGGAGAGAGGGGGAGAGAGAGAGTGAGTGAGAGAGAGAGTGAGAGAGAGAGAAAGAGAGAGAGAGAGAGAATGAGAGGGAGGAAGAGATAGAGGAGGCCAGAAAGCACTGCAGAGGGAGGGTGGTGAGGTGAGAGTGGCAGGGAGGGTGTTGTCGAAAGCGACAAGCGTAGCCTACCGTCGGCCTACTTAATGTATACATAGGTCAAAGTCAAAGGTTCACCATGTTTTGTTTCTTTCCTGTTTTCAGTCTTTTTCCTCTTCTTAACTTTCCTAACACTTAATCATTATTATTCCCGTTCATAGAACGGGTACTTTTACTAGTATATATTATGGGTAGTGCAATTTCGCACATCAATACCATTCTGTACCACAGGAGTGAGAGGGTCAAAGTTTGGCAGCGCCTGTCTTGTTTCTTAAGTTTTCTTCTCAGAATATTATCATGGTCAGCTGCTTTTTTAGAATCCTGAGAGAGAATTGCAAAATCTTTTTTTTTTCTGTCTTAGTCAAATCTAATTTCTTTAGAAATTTAAAGTGGGTGTTTTCCCGCCCGGTCGACATAATTTCGATGATTTAGGAGGCAGGCTTCTGACCCTACCTGCCAGGGCCAACCTGGGCTGAGAGGGATACAACATTCCAGCAGAAAGTCCCAGATATTCGACAAAAATCTCTACCTACTCGGGAAACGAACCTGGTTCTTGTGTGTGCGACAGCGAAGCGCCTAACCGCTACACCACTGACGCCGGTTATAAATTATTTTGGTTACTCTTATTTCAAGCCTGTGAGTAGTCAGCGTTACTTCTACTTTTTAGAGTAAATAAGCTTAAGATTGATTTTTGTATTACATAAAGAGCCTATCAGATTTAGCCAATGAGTCATCGTCTCATATAGCGACGATTGCCATCCTCATTAAAATTATAGCAGAAGTT